CCTCCCTGCCCCGGTTGTTCTGTGTATGTCCCTACAAGAATAGTCACCTCTTGCCTTCAGGTGGCATTTTTCAACTTCGCTGGAGCCAGTGCCCAGGAAGAGCAAAGGGTGTGATGCCAGCGCCTGGCTCACGCAGTGGCTTCATCCCAGAGGACCCCAGTGACTGGGGGTGAGTCTGTGTGTGGGGAGACCCACCGAGCCCTGCAGGGGGCCATGGAGAAGGTGCAGCTGAGTAGGTCCTGGTATGGGCCAAGAACGGTGTGGGCGGGGCAAGGCTGGTGGTTCTTGAGATGTGACCCCATTATTTTGGCTCTAGAGCAACTTTATGGAGGACAACGTGGACCTGAAGGAGCCGGTGGAGAAACTAGAGCTTCAATTCATCCACCTCTCGGAACAGACACCATAAGTGAGTGGGAGGCCAGGATACGGCAGGGGGAGCTGCTGGGCCGTCAGAGGGGCCCCAGCCTCTGAGCTGTGTCCTCCCACAGGAAACTACATCAGCCAGGGGGCAGTGCCAAAATGCGGCACTGGGAGAGGAGGACATCATCAGGCTGGCCCAGGACAAGGAGATGCAAGTAGGGTGTGCAACATCTCTGTGGGGGTGGGAGTAGGGGTGGGGGTGAACTTGGGCACCGGCACTGGCATGACAGCTAAGCACCCCTCCCTCCAGGTGAACCTGCTGGAGCTGCAGGGACAGGTGTTGCGGCTTGTGGGCGACCACAACGAGGGGTACGACAAATTCCTGACCACTGCCCAGAGTCCTGGTGATCAGCCTGCTCTAGGAGCCCCAATCCCCCAGGAGCTTGGGTGTGCTGACAAGCAGGGTGGTGAGTAGAGTGCTCAGGTGGGGTGGGTAGGCAGGAGCAGGGGAGGCTCACACTGAGCTCAGATCCCCTCCTCCCTCTGTCTGAAGATCTTCGTGGCTGAGCCTCACTGACAGCGTGGAGCCTGCACCAGGAGAGGCCAGGGAGGGTTCTCCCCACGACAACCCCACTGCACAGCAGATCGTGCAGCTGCTTCCTCTGACGCAGGACTCTCCAGGAGCACCGAGGCTTGTACAGCAATCCCTGCATGCTATTCTTCTCACCGTGCCGAGATCAGGAGATAAACATCACCATCATCTAAGAGCTGGTCAAGAAATTTAAAAACAAACAAACAAAAAAAGTTTAGGGGTTAATCTCCTACACAATTCATTTACTTCATTTGAATGTTAGTCACTCATGTTTATTTGTGTTTCTAACTTTGTTTAAATTTATTTGTAAAAAGTTACAGAAGAATGGGTCTTTCCCTCATGTTCACTATGGCATCCTTTAGCATTTTTCTTTTTATTTGATAACTGTAGGTCATTAGCATGCATATCGAGTTTGCCCTATGTGGTGGGAGTTCAAACACACAAAGACCCACTATATGCACAAAACGGTTCTTGCTGGTTTGGAATAGACTGCCATGTTTTTTTAATGTTATTGCAGCATGTATGTTCATTACAGAATTCGAATAAAATTTGCCTATGTTCTGCTATTATGCTTGATCGACTCCTAATCACAGTGAGCTCTTCATTAGCTCAATATGTGGTCTGCCCTCAAGTGCGCTGTTTATTAGTTTGTAATGTGCCACTGTGAGTACTGACATTTACAGTTGTTTAAAGATGGAGCACTGGAGAGAGCCTTTCCCCCTTTTTCTGTGTGTTGGGGATGGGCGTAATAACATTTTGGGGAGCTTTTTAAATCTCGCAAAAGAGGAAAGTGGCCTGCTCTGGCAGATGTGTGCAGGATAGAATACGTTTCATTTGCTTCGGAGCCAAGAATGAGTGCATTACTATGGTACTCCCCTTAGGATTTGTATGTGCTCTGGGCTCATGAAGATATTACATCATGAGCTGGGGCAGTTGTACTCCTTTTTGATGATGGCGGCCCTCCCCACCCCACACACGCTGGCCTCCCTCATGGCACCCAGGCAGTCCACCCACAGTTCAGACCAATGCCAGCCCCCTAGGACTTCCTTCTTCTCTGGTCACCCTGTTTTCCAACCCACTGGCCCAGGGCCACCTCTTGCTTGGGGAGCCCCACCCAACAGCCACCAGGCCTGATAGGGAAAGAATACTGCTTGAAACAAAATGTGAAGCTATAAGGGGATGGCTGGCTGAAGTGAGGGCCAGAGGCCCCTCTGGGTAGTCAGAAAGCCCAGGGTCCTCTGAGGGACCCTGGGGAAGGCAAGGAGGACAGGTAGCTGGATGCCGCTGGACATAGACTTATAAGTCTAAGAGGGGAGCCTCAACTGGTTGGCAGGGGGCTGCAGGTTGCATAGGTGAGGCTGGGCCCATCCTGCTCAGAAAAGCAGAAGAGGAAGAGTCCGTGGCAGGACAGGCAGGTGGGCTCGCTAGGCGGAGCTCGGCTGGGCCAGCAGGCACTGTGGTCTCCTTGGCTGAATAGCACAGGCGACCCCTAGGAGCAACAGGCCAAGGTGAGTGAGCCTGCTGGTCGGTGGTAGTGCTTCAGCGGGGGCCAGGGACCCTGCCTTCAGTCCATGCCAGCAGCTATGATGGTACCTGGGAGGGAGGGAAGGGGGCTGTGTGTCCCTGCCTGGTCTGTGAAGTGTGTTGTGGCATGACCGTGTGTATGGGACTCTCAGGCTTTTATCCTCGATCACCACTGGATTGCTGACAGATAGAGGACGTGGGACCCTAACTATCACCCTGAATCTGCAGTGGATTTGGCTCTCGGCACTCCCAGGCTGGGAGCTGGATACCTGCCCTGGCAGCATGACTCAGACTGCATGACAGGTACAGCGTGCCCAGGATGATGTGCCTAGGCCTCTGGCGGCCTCAGAGTCCAGCACTACACACAACCCGCTCCAAGCTCCCAGCCCCTACACCATAAACCACGAGCTCTGTGTCCTCTCTGATGGCTCCATGTCTGCCAGCTTGGGCATGGAGCCTTTTCTAAGAGCCCCCAGGCTCAGCCATGGAGACCTGGAGCAGTGGCACTGAGTCCCATGGCTCGCAGGGAGGGAAGTGAGACAGCCAGCAGCACAAGGACAGAAAGAGGAAAGAGCAAGTCTGCAGCTCCAGAAGGGAGGGGCAGGGAGCCTGGCTCTGAGTCCCCAGGTGTGCCCCGCGTGTGAAGCTGGGGCAGCGGGGCGGGCAAACCTTTCATGCAGCAGGCAGCAAGGCATGTACCTACCAAGGCTGACGCTCCTCAGGGAACACCGTTAGTGATTCTGAAAGACAGCATCAAATCACATGGCACGTCACACGCATGGGTGGGGCAGGCCTGAGGGTGGGGGACACATGCCCCAAGGTGAAGCAACAAATCTGGACTCTCATAGACAGCCTAGAGCTGCTGGCATTCCCTTACCATCTGTGCCCTTGGGCCTGGCTTAATTTTTTCCACTCCAAAGAGCCATCTGTAGGGCCAGAGGCTGGCAAAGCCTGACTCATCACTGGATGCCAGTTCCTTTGCCTGACTTTCAGTGATTCCTATCTTACTCTGGGGTTTTGTGTTTCTTGTCTCAGCACTGTTATTTCTTATTCCTCCACAAGTTGAATTGCTCACTCCAGCCACTTGAAGCATGCTCTTCTTGACACAGTTAACTCTAGGCTCATGGCTGGTGCTAAAAAGAAAAAAAGAGCGTTATGTCAATTTTATTGATTAACAAAAGTGATGGCTCCACTACAAAGTAAAGTTGATACTGCCTGGGCCTCTGAGTTCAACAGCCTTATAGACAAATGGCTCCGAGCTAAAACATGAGCATGCACGCATACGCATCTATCTCAGTCTCATGAGATAATCTGGGTAGCGGTTGTTATCCTTGAGCATTTTCCTGCCTCATTAATGCATGTGTACCCAGCACAATAATAATCATAGCTATCAATGGCTAAAGCTATCCTGAGCCAGGCTGTGGCTTTAAAAACTTTAAAGTGGCTTTTAAAACTTTAACAGCTAAAACTGAGGACTTTCCTGAGCCAGATAGGGGCTTTAAAACCTTTAAAGTTTTCACATAGACTCTCATTGAATAATTTCTGTTTTTCAGATCAAGAAACTGAGACTTACTGTCACATTTGGGATTAAGTTAAAAAAAAAAAAAAAGAAACTGTGGCTTAAAGCTGTCAAGTATTTCAAAGCCAGCAAGTGGCTAAATCGGAACTTGAACCCAGGCAGTCTAGCCCTGGGATCCTGTGCCCTTACCCAGTATCCAGTGTTGGCTACACAAAACTAACGAGTACATGTTTTCAACTATAGTTTAAGGGGGTGACAAATTTTTCACTATATTTTATGTAGGTGACTTTCAGTTAGGGGGTATTCTACTTACACAATCTATTGAGCTGGATATTAACTGAGAACAAACAGAAACTAATAAACTCTGAAAAACATAAAACATGAGCAACATGATGTCACTGCAAACATGATGTCACTGCAAAAGACAAAACAGCACATAGCCTTCTTGTGACTGTAACTTTGTTGCTGACAGTCTAGGAGCTAATACCCAGCCTGAACTTAGCAGTGCTGTTCCCTTGGGAGACACACACTAATACTCAGCCTGAACTCAACAGTGTTGTTCCCTTGGGAGACACACACAAACACACGGACACACACACACACACACGAGTTGGTGGTTTTGTGCCTTCCCGCCAAAACACACACACATTGGCGGTTGTGCAGCCGGGAGCCTCCAGTCCGCCAGTGTGAGGAACGGACCAGATGGGTCCAGTAGTGTTGGGTCAAGGCGAGGAGAGGGCAGCCGGAAGCGCGCGCATGCTCTGGACTCCTGCACCCGCGGCAACGGGTGCTCACGGGGAGCGCGGGAGTGAGGGGTGAGGAGTCAGGGGTGAAAGGTGAGGGGTGAGAGGGAGGGGGACGGGGTGGAGGCAGCCCCTTCCCAGGCGGCAGCTGGGGCGGTGGTGCTGTTGCCCTTTTAAGCTGCCGCTTCACAGGAGCCGTGCCTCCGGTCGGTGGAGTGGGTTACAACGGGAGCAGCTGCCCAGCGGCCTCCCCACAGCTCCCAGCAGAGGACTCGGTGTCCCTTGCGGTTTTCCTGCCGTGCTCCGACTAGACTCAAGGCAGCGGGAAGAGGCGGAGCCGCGAGAGCGCCACCGAGCGGTCCCACCGGGTGGTCGCGGCCATAACAGCGGCTCCTCGCCGGCTCACCTTCCGCGCCCTGTCGCAGGAGATGAGGGTAAGATGTCTATGTCTGTGTGTCCCTGTCCGTGTCAGCGCCTAGCGGTGGCCCCAAGGGGCAGGGCGAGGGTGGAGAGGAGCCTCTGGAAGTACCCGGACAAAGGGGAGCCTGCCCGGGAGAGGCCCCGGTTCCCCAGGCGGGGCGAACGCGCCCCTTTCTCCTGTGACTGGCCCGCCCCGATCGCCGGGACTGCCGGGGACTTCGGTGGGAGGAGGCGGAGGGCGCGTCTCTCTGTCTCCTTGCGGGGGGCTGGCTTGAGGGCTGCTGGCACCTCTCGCCCTCGTCCCCGAGCCCCGAGCTGGGAGCCCGCGTCGCCCGCAGCCCTTTCGGGGCCCATGATCGCCCTCAGTCAGCCGGCCTGCTCCCCGGAACCGCGACGTGGTGTGGCAGGGCGGCTCCAGCTGATGTTTGAGCCCAGGCGGGGAAGGGGAAAGGCCTTTAAGATTTTCGGTTTTTTGACAGGGCGCAGTGGCTCTTTCCTGTAATCCTAGCACTTTGGGAGGCTGAGGGGGGTGGATCACCTAAGATCAGGAGTTCTAGACCAGCCTGGCCAACATGGTAAAACCCTGTCTCTACTAAAAATACAAAAGTTAGTTGGGCATGGTGGCAGGCGCTTGTTGAGATGGAGCCTCATTCTGTGGCCCAGGCTGGAGTGCAGTGGGGCGATCTCGGCTTACTGCAGCCTCCTTCTCTTGACAATCCATGGGTTCAAGCGATTCTCCTGCCTCGGCCTCCCGAGTAGCTGGGATTACAGGCGCCCGCCACCATGCCTGGCTACCTTTTGTGTTGTTTAGTAGAGACGGGTTTTCACCATGTTGGCCAGGCTGGTCTCGAACTCCTGACCTCAAATGACCCACCTCTGCCTCCCAAAGTTGTGTGATTACAGACCTGAGCAACCTCACGCGGACCCAAGGCCCTTAAGTGTAAAGGCCTCATTCTTCAGTCAGGTTTTCCTTGTTCCTGCATGTTCAGCCAATCGTTTTTAAGTTTGTGTTTAAGGAGAAACTAACAATGAAAAGGGACTCCTTGAGGGAGGAAAAGTTGGAATGCAGCCTCTGGTGCTGTTTGAGCGATCCCTCTCCCCAGGGCCCCGCTGGGCCGCTGCTGTGTTCTGGAAAGGCGCATTGTACCTTGGATGGGGCAGGTAAGAGTCCTGTACAGGCGCTCTGCCCGCTTTTCCTTTCAGGCTTCTGTATCAGCTATTTTTCCCCTGTAGAATGTGCCCCTGACAGCCACCCACTAACCCTACCCAATTTGGCTTTGCATGTCTGACCATCAAGGCTCTTCTGGGTCATATTTAGTTCATGCTGATATTTCCCCTTCCTCCCCTCTTTCGTCCTTAC